TATATATATATGTAAAAACCTCAATTTGTGCCGCATTCCTTGTTCAGTTGGTAGACAGAGTCACTGTAAGTCCTCTCTGGCAAATGTTCAATCCCTACCGTGGTGCGTGTGGGGTCGAATTATAAACACATGACGCGGGCTCTCGTCATGAGGCCGGATTGCGCATGGAAAATCGATATTTTGGCCTCTGCCAAATATCAATTTCCTTTCAATTAAAAAAAAAAAATGTAAAAACCTCAACTTTTTAACAGATGCAAATATTATTTTATTTATTAATTAATCATGATTCATAGTGGCCCGGCACAACACTAGACGAGTATTATTGTAATTATTTTGCCAGCGACCCGGCTCTAAAAAAATTTCAGCAAGTCAAAATTGATTTTTATATGTAGGGGTGTAAACGAGCCAAACACGAGACACGAGCGAGCTATGCTCAGCTCATGTTCGGCTCGTTTATATTTCGAGCTCAAAAAGTGTGTTCGTGTTTGACTCGTATGCTTAACGAGCCGAACACGAGCTGTTCACGAACAAAGAGTCCTTTTAATAACCTTAATCATGTAGCCATAAGACATAAGACAATAAGGGTTTGAGCAAAATTTAAAAATTATTATTTATATTAAAACATCAATCTAATTTAATAATTTTTATTCTCTTTTCTTAATCAATATTTTAATTGATTATAAATCTTTGTAGCCTCGTAGTCAATTAGATTTTTTTTAAATACTACTTTATATATATATATATATATATATATATAAACTTGATGAGTAGTATTTCGAGCCACGAACGAACACATCTTAGTTCGTGTTCGGCTCGTTAACCTATCGAACAAAATTAACGAGCCAAACACGAGCTTTTTAACGAGCCGAACACGAGCTGTTCGCGAACGAAGAGCTGTTTTGACAGCACTATTTATATGGCGTAGAATCACATTAATATATGGGATAATTACATATAGATCATTTATAATATTGATATTTACAACTTAGTCACACAGGTGATTTATTTGAATTAGCGAAATTTACATGTGCCACGATCAAAGTACTAAGAATTTGATTAAAATAAAAATTTTTATATTTGAGTGAGAATTTAAAAAATGAATGAAAAAGAGTAGTTGGGTGGTGTTTATGTAATTGCCCCCACTATAAATAAAGAGATATTTCCATAAATACCACCAATTCTTATCAATTTGCATATCTTACGCATAAACTTTGATTTTTAAATTTATATCACTCAAAATTTTCATATCACATAAAAATGACGACCATTTTTACATATCTGGACTCGAAGAAGTAATGGACGCAAAAAGAGAACAAATGACCATCTTGCCAAGAACTCATTGAAGAGTGCACGAGAGACGAGTTAACCAGGTGTCGGAGGAGGTGTGATAAGTCAGTGTCGAGCTGTTGGCCAATGGTGGCATGACAGATGGAGTAGAGAGTGGCTGAGTACAGTCCGTAGAAGGCGAGAATAAAACCAAGGATCCAAGGTCTGTAGAGCCAGGTTGAGCTAAAGAAGGGGCTGAAGAGAATTTTGATGGTCTACTTTGCAATAATTGTTATATTTATGGTTTTATTTGTAATTATAGGTAATTTTGACTTTAAGCTTTTTTTATTTTTATGCCCTTGTCCTCTTCTATAAAAAGGATTTAGGGTTTATGAGAGGTATATAGAGAGAAGTGTGAGGGTAACCCTAAATTTTTTTTTCTTTTTCCTATCTGACGCAGTGAAACCTGACTCCTCATAGACGAATGTGAATCAACTTAACGTGGAACAATATAAATTTTTTGTGTTTGATTGTTGTTGCGTGAATTTCACCATTTTTGTATTATTTTCACATAATAATTTATATTAGAGCTTCAGGTCCGTGATCAAAGCGTGATTCAGCTTTGACAAACAGAAAATCCAAGTTGGTTGTCTGCGTCTGTTGCAGCGGGTGGTATAATGTGCTTTGTCGGCATATTCAGATGTTCTGTAGCGGTTCCGGCAAATCCGGCGGCAGTCTGGCGGGGTCTGGCGTCAGGCGGCAACTCCAGCTTGGTCCAGCACAGGAAGGCGGAGAGGGAGCTGTCCGAAGGTTTGGAAAAGGAGAGAGAGCAGCACGACGGAAGGTTCCTGCGGCGGTTTCAGCGCAGTCAGGCTTCTGGCGGCGGCGGCGGCAACGACAGGCGTGATCAGAGGATTGCGAGGAACAGCCAGCGTGACGTAAAAAGGTTTTCTTTTTAGAAAGAAAAAAAGGAAAAAGTTTTTCTTTTAAGAAAATAAAAGTGCAAGTCCCTGGACAGAGAGATTTCTGGGAAGAAAGTAACAGTGAGGAATAGTGGAAAGAAAAAAAAAGAGAAATTCTTTTTTAAATGATTTTCAGTTTTGGGAATAGAAATATTAAAAAAAAAAAAGATAAAAATTTCTCGGAAAAAAAATGGATAAGGAAAAAGGAAAAAAAAAATTCAGGAGAGAAAAACAAAATATTTTTATTTTCTAAAATTTATTTCTTTTTCAAGTTGATTTTTTTTATATTTTTTTTCTTTCTTTCACATATTTTGTTAGAGATTTTTTTTTTTAAAAAAAAAAAAAGAGATTTCGACCTTAGAAAAAAAATGATAACAAGATTTTTAGTTCTTTAATGTTTATTATGACAGTGAAAACGTTTATTCATCAGGTGATCACGTATTTCGTTAAAATTAATGTAACGAAATTTGATAACAAAGATAACATTGACAAGCGTTGTGAAGTGATAAATGTGTTGTGTTCTCTGAATCTGGAGGGAGTCATGAATGGTGAGGAATGCCCAAAAGAGTAGTCAGAAAGAGAATTGTTTTTTTTATGAATCAAATTGCTTGTGGCTTAATCTGAAATTACTTAACCATGGAGATCAAATTTGTGGCGATAATGGAGACCTTTTCAAAGAAATTATGGTGGATGTTGGAGAACAAATATCTCATGAAGAGCGTAAAGAGTCGTCTCCATATGAAGCATCAACTCTACAGATTTTAGATGAGACGGGGGGTTGCTATTGATGAACATTGAATGACTTCACAAAATTGTTAGCAGATCTATCAAATTTGGATTAAGAGGTTGGAGATGAAGACAATTTGTTTCTTATGTTAAATTCGCTCCCGGATGAGTAAAAAAACTTCACGATGTCACTCATTCATGAAAATAAGATATTAATTATGACGAATTGACTACAACACAGTTGAACAATGAGTTTCGTTGAAGGGACAAGGAGACCGCAAATATGGAGTCAGTTGAGACACTTACACTCTAACGTGACATATTTGAGAAGATGAAGAATTGGAAAAGAAAAGTGGCAGCGGTGACATTTCTCAAAAGAGGGACAAGTCTCGTGGGCACAATCTTGAGAAAAATTAGTGTGTATTCTGTTTAGTGATTAGTCATTGAAAGAAAGATTGTTCTAAGATTAAGAAAAAGGGAAATGAAGTTGCAATTGAGGCTAAAGTTAATGTCATTTGTGAAAAAATGTGAAGAGACGGGTTTAGATGTATTGTTATTTGCAGTTTCTCACAATTTATTTACAGATGATTCATGTTGGATTTTGGACACGGTTGCAACCTATGACATTTGTCCTCATTGAGGATGGTTTTGAACATACAAGGAGCTGGATAGGGATGCAATGACTATGGGCAATGATCAAGTTTGTCGTACTATTGGTGTGGGGAGTATCTTTATCAGAATGCATGATAGTACTGTGAGGGAGTTGACCAATGTTAAACGTGTTTCGGATATCAGGAAGAATTTGTTGTTAGTATGGGCTTTAGAGTCCAAGGGCTATAAGCTAGTTATTGAGGCATAAGTTATGAGGATATGCGTGGAGCAATAATTTTTATGAAGGGAGTTCGTCGTCATAATCTTCATGACAGTATAGTGACTGGAACGACTATTGTTGCTGCTGATTCTTTTGATGCCGCTATATTGTGTCATATGCGGCCAACTCATGCTGGATGGATAGACTTCACTGCAAGCTTTGGTGAAGAAATGATTGATCATAGGAGCGAACAACTGTTAGCTTAATTTTTGTGAACATTGTGTATTTGACAAGAAGACACCGATATCTTTAGAGACAGTCATCCACAGTACAAAAGATATTTTAGAGTAAGTTTAGGGCCCGACAAAGACAACATCATTTAGTGGCGGAGATACTATCTCTTTTATTGATGATTATTTCAGGTATGTGTGTGTATACCAAGAAGCGCAAAAACTAAGTGCTGAAGATTTTCATAACTTGGAAGAAGTGGATTGAGACTCAGATCGGTTAAAAAGATATAGTGTATCAAATCAGATAATTAAGGAGAATACATTTCAGATGCTTTCTGACACGCTCTAAGTGAGGCGAAACGCAGGAGGCTCACAGAAGTATACGTGGTATATCAGAAGTATATAGAATGGAGTTCCGTGTATTGATTCCACAGGGAACTGGATGATTCCAATGCAAAAAAGTTCTAATATACTATTGTTGATTCTTGTTGACCTCATCTTTGGTCACATAGGACTTGCACGAACATCACCCATTGGTCTGGTATAGCCACATTAGCCAATAATCTACACACGCTCTTTTTT